TAACTGACTGGCTTATTTCACTTAGCATAATGCTCTCCAATTCCATCCATGCTGTTGCAAATGGTAAGAATTGCTTCTTTTATGTTCATGCCTCAAGTTCTCCCTGGTTCTGCTGGGACTTGTATAAAAAGAAGCTACCATGTAGATACCTCTTGGATAAGATGTACAGAGATGGTGGTGAGTCTCAGTGCTTCCGGACTTTTCTGTTAGCAGTGACAGGCTTCACTATGAGCACATTTCATTTGTCAAATCACATCACAGGGTTGCAGGAAATTCAGGTAGTCAGGAGGGAAGTCTGACATACTTGATGGCCTCATTCATGTGACTACATGGGGCCAGCCTCTTTGGGGGCTGTGTATGGGTGAAGAAGAGCAGTGAAGATTGGTAGGAAATGACAGTGGAAATTAGTTCAGATGGTTCACTTTCCCCGCATCCAGGTGCACTTTGTCCCAGAGCTGCCCACGACCACCACTGTCAAGATTCAAAGGAGTGAACTTCAATAAGAGGAATTTGGTCAGAAGTCATTGGCCATGAACTCAGAGCCCACTTCTGAGTGTGACCTTTAAGAAATCCCTGGCTGCCTCGGTTCCCCCTCTATGTTCGAGGTGAAGATCCACATGTTAAGAATGTTTATTGGAAGGTACAGGACTGCAAGCATTCCAGCATCCATGTTCTTTGAAATTAACATCAGTCACTACTCTGTCTCCAAGTCTCTATCATTTGCATAGCTCAGGTGAGGGCTCCATCAGGTGGGGCTAATTGTCAAAATGCTGACATTAACACCAATGTTGGTCCTAGGTTCCCATTCATTTGTGCCTGAACTTGTGCTAAATGTGGTCCCTCCATAGTTCTCTCCATTCCCATTGGAGAGAGCACTAGACCCAGTTTTCCCTCCTCATCCCAATATTCCTAGATGTCCAAGTTCACCCAGTAAATGATGAGAGCCCAGAGGACAGGAAGTGATGCTCTAAGCAACCCCTGGCACCTTCCTTATTAGGTGTCGCCATAGCTTACACATGGGCAATGGCTTGACCTTCTCTTCAGGGACCAGGAGGACCACCTGAATATCCCAGCCTTCTCCAGGGGTATCCAGGTCCTCATTCCTAAGGGGGAATTAGGGTCCTAGGATTCTTCACCCTCAGCTTTCCCCTATATTTACCCACCCACTTATTCCCTTCCAGGGATGTCAGACCTTCCAGCTCCTCCTCAAACGCTTAGAGTCCTCTCAAAACAGTGCCTCCACACTCTATTCTTCTATTCTGCCATCAGTCTTTCCCAATTCTCCAACTTCGCTCAGCCTGCAGTTCTATGACCCTTCACTTCATCCATCCATGAACCTGAGATGGGACCCAAAGGGGTATAACAGTGGCTTGGAAGAGAAGGGGCTCAGCCTGGGGAGTAGGGAAGAACATATTGTCCTCTAAATCACCCCTATGGAGATTGCCTATGCATTTGTCTGTTGCTGGGGTGCACACATACAATCTCACAGGGAACATGCAGACATCATAAGCACAGAAATGCACAGGTACAAAACACCCCCAGGCAAAGATGGTCTCTCAGATGCAGGGCTTGTGGCCAGGCTCACACAGACCCAGACTACAGACTCGGACATCACTTTGAGGGGAATACACAAATACACACAGATAAGAACACACGGGAACAAGACAGCATCACGATGCACACCCACATACACAATGGACACACACAGGCACACACCAGAAGGGACATACATGGACACAGAAGACAGACACAAAGAAAATAAAAAACACAGATACAATCAGGAACACACAAAGGGGCAGCAATTCACACTGACAAGCAAAGCCACACTCCCCTTAATGCTGAGTCATACTAATACACTGTTTTGAAGGAAACATTAAGAACTGAGGTGCTGTCTTGAAGAGGTAGTACAGTGGGTTGGAGAATCATCTCATAATGCACCTCCCCCCTCCCCACACACAATAGATTGTGGATTTGATCCCTGGTTGGGGCATGTATGAAAGGCAACTGATCCATGTTCCTCTCCCATTAATGTTTACTTATTTCTCTCCCTGTTTCTCTTTATTCTTTATCTAAAATCAATAAACATATCCTCAGCTGAGGATTAAAAAAGAAAAATGTAATAATTAAGGTATTGAATTTTCAAGAACATAGCATTAAATCCAGAGCAGTCTCTCTAGAACAGTTATCAGAAAATCATTTGAATGCAGTCAATGTGTCTTCTTTTACCTGGGAGGCTAACAGAATCACTATCGCTGATCTCAGAAAAACCCCACAGAATTAGTGTCATAGTCATGATCCCCTCCTTGCTTTCATTTAAGCACTAAAATTTGATGGTTTCTGAATAAATTCATATCTTCATTTTCATAACTTAGGTTAGACTTTGAGTGATAAAAATTAACTTACCCTTAGTAGAAGCTATTTCTGAGGGATTCCAACATAACTTTAGGCACTGGAGTGAGTGCAGCCTAATTCTCCCTCCAGGCCCCAGTGTCCCATGTGGCCATGACCCTCCGTAGATGACTGGAACCCAGGAGTGATGCTCTGAGTAGGCCCAGACTCCTTCCTCTATTAGCTGTCAGCCTAGCTTTCACATGGGCAAGGGACACCCTCTCCAGGGATGTCCAGTTCCTGCAACCTGGGCCTTATTGAGATGCTTTAATCAATTGAGCTCTATGGCCAGGGCCAAACTTATCAGGGGGTTTAAGAAAAATAACTAATGCACCTGAGAATAGATAGATACCAGAACCAGCATGACAACAAATAGTGATAGAAGGCTAGACTAGGATTCATGAAGTTTCATCATGTTTTCTTTATATGGATATATTTGTAATACGCTATTACAAAGGTAGATAATGTCCTTGCAGCAGTAACAGCAAATGCCAATCAGGAAGCACTGAAAAGTGGAGGATTTGGTTTCAGGGAGACAGGTATCTATGGAAACATAAAAGTGTTTGTTAAAAAGTGTGTTTTAGCCTGGCCAATATTACTCAGTGGTTGAGTACAACCTATGAACCAAGAAGTCAAGGTTAGATTCTGGTCAGAGCATAAGGCAGGACTGCAGGCTTGATACACAGTGTAGGAGCATGCAAGAGGCAGCTGATCAATGACTATCTCTCATCATTGATGTTTCCATCTCTCTCCTTTCTTCTCTGAAATCAATAAAAACATATTTTAATATATACATTGTTAAAATATGTGCTTTAAATCAATTACACTTATATCAAACTTTTAAAAATGTTTAATACTTGCCACTTCCCAATAATCCAGTTTCATTATAAATTTTCTTGAGCACATCTACTGCTACTGTATCAGTATGCTGAAAATAAAATGTAATGATGTACTACTGAAATATCATGTCCATGTTCCATGTCATCATTTTGACAGTTTGAACCTAGTGATGATGAGAGTATTTACACCAGGGAAATTGAGAAATACTACAAATCTAGACTTCACTTAATGTGTTATTATATGTTTAGACTTAAAGAACACTGGTGGAGAATGTTAATGATGCAGATTAAACTTATAAGTGTATGGTATGAGTGGCTATTAATTGTCCATAGGATAAAAGTTGAGAAAAACAATTTTCTTTCTAGATTTGAAAACCAATGGTTCCATATGGCAAAGAAGTCACTTGAGTCATTGAGAAGGGAGTGAAACTAAAACACATGTCTTAGATGCTGCACTGTCCTCCTATTGGTTAGAATAATAAATTAACTTAAAAAGTAGGCAAAGGATCCTGAGCAGACATTTTAACAAAGGAGATAAAGACAGTGTAAATTATGCAAGAAGAAATGCTCACCATCAAGAATTGTTAGGGAAATGTTATTAAACAAAAACAAGTTAACAGTATAGTCATTGCCTGGCCTAGTATTTAAAAAAAATAACCATCACTTGTGCTGACGGGTAATGTAAAACCTGGAAATTTCATTACTGTGGGTGACTGGGAAGGCAAAGGGAATGGCCATTTTAGATCACAGATCTGCATACCTTAAAATATAACACAATCATCAACACTGCAACAGTTAGATAAATAAAACAGACACCTGTAGGAAGAACTGAATGCAATATTCCCAGCAGTTTTATTTATAAAACCCCAAATTTGGAAATAACCAAAAGCATTGACAGATCAATGGATAAAGTGGTTATCCATAGAATATTATTAGCAATAAAAAATTAACTATTTACATAAACATTACTGTTGAAACTAAAAATACCTGTGTAGCAAGAAAGAAGTGATAGTTTGTTAAAAATTATACACCTTATAGTGCCTATAAAATTATGAAAAATATGAACTAATCTATCATAAGAGGATGTAAATCAATGGCTGTATGGAAGGCTAGAGAATCCAGAAGAGTATAAAAGGGCAAGAGGTAAATACAGGGTGTGTAAAACTAGGTTTAGAGTTGTTAGTACTGAAAATAACACAACGGTAAATAAATAATAAAAGTATAAACTCTCATGGCTACTGTGTCTTACATTGTCGGGCATGATCACATTCACTGAAAGGTCATTGGTTTGATTCCAGATCAGGGCACATGCCTGCCTGGATCTGCAGTAGTGGGCATGCAGGAGGCAGGAGATTGATGTTTCTCTCCCTTTACCCTTCTCTCTAAAAATCAATAAAAATACATTTTAAAGTATATAAAACTAAAGGCTGGGTTGATAAAATTCATACACTTTTGATATTTCTCCTGAAATTTTTGTGTTTTCTTTGATTACAAAATCCACCATTATTACCCAGTACACCTAGTAGGAAAAGCCTTAATTGTGGTTCCAAACAAAAAACATAGCTATCCCTCTATTCTTTTTTTTTATTTTATTGCTTAGAGTATTACAAAGGGTATTACATATGTGTCCCTTTTTTTCCCCTGCCCCTGACAATCCCCTGGCCTCCCCTACCCCCCAGTGTCTTATGTCCACTGGTTATGCTTATATGCATGCATACAAGTCCTTTGGTTGATCTCTTACCCCCCTCCTTCCTGCCCCCCCACCCCTATCCTTCTATTCTTAGAAAATTAAGATGGCAACTCTATATAGACATGACCATCTCTCTCCTAATTTCCTGAGAGAATCATTGTTGCCTCTGTGGCAGCAAATACTGTCCAGAAGGGAAGGCTACTGCCATCAGAATGATCAGGAATGCTGAATTGTCACAAAACACACAACCTCACACTAATTATACGATTATCCTTCCTTTAGCTTTGAATTTTCCTCTTGTGATAACCTTGAGGTGAACACCATAGCGGTGCCCAGGGAATCCCCAAAACCATGAGATTCTTTTTACAACCAATCACTTCAGCTACAAGAAGAACAAACAAGCTTCAGGACGGGGTCATTTATGGATAATGTTCAGAAGAGGCAATTTTCATCCAATATACTGATGTCTCTTCCACTCACTATGAAAACAGTGTCTGTCCCAATATTAGTTGCACTTCACAGTGTTACAACAACTGAAACCAGCCTGTGATATTTCACACACATGGCTCAGGGCTTCTGTGCAGAATGTAAGACATACTATGAACAGAGAATATAATTCATATTGTTCACAGAAGCACAACAAAGGACTCTTCTTCCGGGTGATCATTGACCTCATAAATAATACAGGCACCAGGCTACAAAATTAGAACCAAAAAGTCATGCAGATTTTTGTTAAAGGACTTGGTTAGCAAAGAAAATAAACCAAGATTGGACAAAGAGTGATTTTTTGCCATTATTATGTGCCTTCCAAAGAGCAGAAAGTTTGGGACCCAACCATATCTGTTCACCACTAAATGTGACAGATCACAACAAACCCTTCAAATCATCCCAGGCAGTGAATATAACCCACAAAATTAAAGGTACAAAAGCAAAACACCCTTTACTGAATGATCATAACCCAGAACAGAGGACAGCAACCAGTCTGTAAGTTGGTGAATTACAACCTAAAACGACTCATCAGAGGATAATGTGAGAACAATGATAGAAGCACAAAAAAGGACTCCTTTTCTGGGGGACCACTGACCTCACCAACATTAGATGCACCAGGCTGCAAATTGGAACCACAAAGTTATGCAAACTTTCTTTCATTGCCTTGGTCAGTGGTATAAAAGAAGCCATCAATGGAGAAAGAGGGATTTTTCTGACATTATTATAGCTTTCCAAAGCACAGAAAGTTTGGGACCCCACGATATCTGTTCATCTCGCCATGATGATACAACACAACTTTTGTATCAAATCATCCAGAGAGTGAAATTTAAAAAGAATAAAAGCTACAAAAGAAAAAAACATGTTTACTAAAGATCATAAACCAGAACAGACAACAGTAAGCAATTTTCAGGTTGGTGAATTAGAAAGTAAAACAATTCATAAAAGCATAATGTGAGACCTGCAATGTCCCTGAAAGTGGCAGCACTCCTTAGCTGAGGATGGGTGGTCTGGACAAACCCTGGGTCAGAAGCATTTCCTAATCAGAAAGGAAGGAAGATCCTGTCAAGAGCTTGAAGTAATCATAATGTTCTCAAGCACAAGTGAGAACACAGAATACATTTCCCCTGAGCACACAGAGGTTGTGACTGATGCACACTCTTCAGGTGAGCCAGGTGTTAGAGGTGAAATCTCTTCAGTCAGAAATACTTGCTGTGACATCAATTGGTTAGCAGGTCTGGGCATGTTAGCAACGCCGCTCCTTCAAGCCTCACTTGTACCTGAAACTGATGAATACATCAGAGTGCATGTTCCATTAAAAGGCGTTTAAATTCAGAAAAACAGGTCCCAAAGAGTCACCTTCAGTGTTGTTGTACTAAGTGAGAAAAAGATAACATTCCCTGCACATTTAACACTTCTCTCCAGTGTGAACTCTGTGGTGGCTAGTGTGCTGAGCCCTTCAAGGAAAGGATATCCCACATTCTCTATATCTATAGGGCTTTTCTCCAGTGTGAACTTCTCTGGTGTTCTTTGAGGATAGACTTATCACTGAAGGACTTTCCACCGTCACAGCACTAATATGGCTTGTCGTCACTGTGAACTCTCAGGTGCCTAATAAGGTGATATTTTTGGCTAAAAGACTTCCCACATTCAGTACATTCATATGGCTTCTCTCCAGTGTGAACTCTGAGGTGTGAAGTGAGGTTAGACCTTACACTAAATGACACACCACATTCTGTACACTTATAGGGCTTTTCTCCAGTGTGAACTCTTTGGTGTTGTTTGAGATAAGACTGTTCTTTGAAAGACTTCCCACAATCAGAGCACTCATATGGCTTGTCATTACTGTGAACTCTCAGGTGCTTATTAAGGCAAAATTTTAGGCTAAAAGACTTCCCACATTCAGTACATTTATATGGCTTCTCTCCAGTATGAACTCTGAGATGTCCAGTGAGGTGATCCCTTCGACGAAAGAACACCCCACATTGACTACACTCATATGGCTTTTCTCCAGTGTGAACTTTGAGGTGTCTTGTGAGGTGATACCTTCGAAGAAAGGACACCCCACATTGACTACACTCATATGGCTTTTCTCCGGTGTGAACTCTCTGGTGTTGTTTGAGATAAGACTCTTCATTGAAGGACTTCTCATAATCAGAGCACTCATATGGCTTGTCATTACTGTGAACTCTCAGGTGCTCAATAAGGCAAGATTTTTGGATAAAAGTCTTCCCACATTCAGTACATTCATATAGCTTCCCTCCAGTGTGAACTCTGAGATGTCTAGTGAGGTGAGACCTTACACGAAATGACACCCCACGTTCTCTACACTTATAGGGCTTTTCTCCAGTGTGATCTCTTTGGTGTTGTTTGAGGGTAGCCTTATCACTGAAGGACTTTCCACAATCACAGCACTCATATGGCTTTTCGCCACTGTGAACACTTAAGTGTCTCCTAAGTTTATATATTTCACCAAAAGTCTTTCCACATTCAGTACACTCACATGGCTTCTCTCCAGTGTGAACTCTGAGGTGTGCAGTGAGGTGAGACCTTACACGAAATAACACCCCACATTCTGTACACATATAGGGTTTTTCTCCATTGTGAACTCTCTGGTGTACTTTGAGGGTAGAGTTACCATTAAAGGACTTTCCACAATTAGAGCATTCATATTGCTTGTCGCCACTGTGAACTCTCAGATGCTTTGTAAAGTTAGATTTTTGGCTAAAAGACTTCCCACATTCCATACACTCATATGGGTTCTCTGCAGTGTGAACTCTCTGATGTCTAATGAGTTCAGGTCTTTCTCTGAAGAACTTCCCATATTCACTACATTCATACTGCTTTTCTCCAGTGTGAACTCTCTTATGTCGAATGACATTCAAGTTTTGTCTAAACTCTTTCCTACATTTGTTACACTCATAAATCAATTCTCCAGAAAATACACCCTGATGTTGAACAACTTTCAGGTTGTGTCTGGCAGCGTTTTCAAATTCACCCCACTGGTATTGACTATTTCCATGAAGAAACTGCTGTGAAATCTCACTGTCACCGTGTAGCTCCTCAGCCTCATGGTGGAGAAGCTCTGAGTTGTACTGCAAGTCTTCCCCAACCTTCCTGCTGGTGAAAGGCACCAACGATAAGAAATTGGACCTACTCACTGAGGAGGCCCTGTCCATAGCTTGTTTCCAGGGCTCCTCTCCACATTCATTCCTCTGTTGCTGGTGAGGGTTTGCACTGAAACAGAAGACTCCAACACATGCATCAGTACAGAAGGCTTTCTGCTCGAAGTCTGCTGCATGTGACCCACTCAGGTGCAAAATACCTTTTAACACAGAGAAACGCCGCTTACACAGAGGGATCTTCTGGCTTCTTGGAGCTGTCTTAGAAGCCCTGACCTGTGACTCTCCTTTTATAGATACACTCTGAGCAGAACAGGCCTCATCACCATCAATTTTATGCCAACAACCTGAAAAGTGAGAAAGGGTAAAGAAATGAATGTTGAATGTGGTGACAGGGGGAAGTCCCATTACCAAAGTGTATTACACATCACATGTTGTTTCTATTCAATTGTCTGAAAATAAGAGATGTGTAGGAAGGATTGATAGGAGGCTCTTGAGAATTCCTGGGCTAATGAAGATCACAAAATAGGGAGGCCTCACCAGAAATAAGACACAAACATGGCAAGCACCACATGGATGAGGATATGGATTTACAGCTAATACTTTAACTAACACCATTCAGCACGGCTTGTCTGCTGGGTACAGGGAAAAGCTGTACAAGAATTGGTCAGTTCTTATCCAAGTAAAATTCAATAAAGGCATAGCTGGTTTCGAGGACTAATTAGCACATATGTGCACCTCATAACACATGTGCAAGTCAATGTTGCAGATGATTGCAGAGGCACCAATGCAGAGGAACAGGTGATGAAGAGGTGAGCAGACAGCTCTGAGCCAGAGGAACACAGCTTGCTCTAGTATTCAGGGAAGAGAATATGACAAACTATTGATTGAAGGTCTCACAAGAACAGCCTATGGTTCATTTAAGTAAAGACCATAACATGGCATAGGTCACCACAAAGAACCTTCACCTAGAGAAAGAAGGCAGAAGTTGAAGCCATGCATGTGGACACTGTCAGCCTCCCATGAAGAGAAAATGGGAGCTGGGACCCTTAAGCTCACTGCAAGATTCCGGACTCTCTGTTTCCAGTGCCTTTTGAGGTAACAGGTTAGCGGGATGTTTGTGGAGTCCTTTGCTCAGGACTCTCCATCCAGCTCATCACTGGCAGCCACAGCACATTTGACAAGACAGTGGGGAAATTTAGCAGAAACCATATTCTTGCTGTGGGAGAGAGAAAGCTATGCCTGAGGAATAAAGGAAGAGAGAGCATCACCTCAGAACCCTTGGGAGAACATCAAGGTCTTACCTACAGATGACACAAGTGCAAACACTTCCAGCATCACATCACAGTACAGAAGTCTCTGAGCCTCATCAAGGAGCCCCCATTCCTCCTGAGAGAAGACAATGGCCACGTCCTCATAGTTCATATCCTGTCATATTGGGGACAGTACAGCCAAAGATCAGATTCACTCCTATGACTGTAAGTCTGTCATGCTCCCGACCCTCCACATTCATCTGCTCTGTCCACTCCTCACATCAGAGAAAATACAGGCCTTCATCCCATGAAAGCCACTGTCTTCTTATATTCCTACTGACATTTTGTCTTGCCACTATATTAAAGGCATTTGAGCAGATAAAAGATACCTGAGCTCTGGACGTTCCATGCACGCTACACTGAATTTTATCAACAGAGTGTGTCAAAACCACAGGTTAAAGAGAGATGCTGGCCATAACGATACTGTGAGTGATTTGATACTGGTCTTGTCAGGCGATACCCTCATATTGTTTCTCAAATACATGGCATCACACTGCACCCTCTTGACCCCAATCCCAAGGTACTGAGGCCATGGCTTTGCACTACCTGTTGCACAGAGTTCTTTGAACAACACTTCTCTCATACAGCTTCATTTTCAGAAGCACAACTTCAAAGGTAATGCAAATTTGCTGTGGTGAGGACAAATTACTTCCTAATCACTTTTTTCCAAAATTATACTTCACCACATCCATAATCTCTTACCCCTTACCCTTCTCCCTTACCCATTCCAGTGGAGATTTTGAAGCCTGGGTAACACTGGTGTAGGCTATCTCATTCCTATCAATCTGTGTGTCACCCTCAACAACAAAAGGCAGGTGGTCAGTTAAATGGCACCTAAGCTCTGTACCTTGAATGTAACACCAAAACACCCCACTTTACAGGCAATTACCCTAAAATCCACCTTACTGGACCCAGACACCACCAGAAATAGACTCTCCATCAATCACTCTTCTGTCAGCATCAGGGGGCTGTGGCCATCAATTCACATTCCCTCTTCAAGTGCACATCACTCTTTTCCACACGTGGCTTCCACCTGCACTCCCTCAGCCCCAGCCCCCACAGGGCTCTCCTTGGCCTCTGACTTAACTCAGCATTTATTGTCCAGAGAATGCTTGCCAACATCTCTCACTTAACCGCCACTCAAGTCCCACACCCGATGGCGTTCTGACCATGCCCAGTGAGTTTCACAGATGATCACTCAAGCCTCTAAGCTAATCCACAAGACTGACTGCAACTCGCCAAAACCAGGCCACACCAAGGGTCATAAAAACCTGGTGAGTGTTTAGAGAATTAATATGTACCAGTCCTAGTCTTATCTTGTTTTGAGTACTTCTTTAGCCTCCAGTTACTCTCAGGTCCATTCATCTTTTAAAGGCCTTGGCCACTGCAAAATGATTACCTCTCCCCCACACTCTACATGACAACTTCTATCTCTCTGCTGTGTTGTGACACCCAACTTCCACAGTGGCCCCAGCAGGAAAGCTAGACCTCAGGATCACACTGTCCCTTCTGAGCTACTACTACCATTACCAACCTCACCATGATTCGTTGTATTAAAGTGATCTACAGCCCTGGCTCATGTGTGTCAGTTGGTTGAGTAGAGACCCATGCACTGGTGAGGTCATATCCTGGGTTGTATACATTTAAAAAACATACCTGCTGGTTCTTGAATCAGCTCACTCTTCAACCAAAGCCTTTTCACATTCTGGAAATTATGCCCTGGAGAAGAGGTTGTCAACCTTTCGGACCTCACGGAGCACCAGTCGTCCACGGACAACTGGTTGGCCACGACTGCCCTGGATGACCTCACAATCATCCCACTGGTTGCCAGGAAGAAGGTTCACTTCACAAAGCCCTACTCATGGCCTTAGGATTCTGGGCTTGGTGTCTGTTCAAAGTACCCAGGTCCAGGGGCTACAAGAGGGGCTGGACAGTGCCAGGACAACACTCTTGCTGAGGCCACAAGAGTGTGAGGCCCTGAAATAATATTCATGAACCAGAACACCTAATTCATTCTGTATTTGCAGGAATTCGTGTAAAGAAAATGGTCTGTTGAGAGCCTGGCAAACACCGCCAGGCTCTATGGGCTCAGACTGCTCAGTGCCCTTGCCCAGCCCAGAGGCCAGGTGCCCTCCAGATGCCTGTATTACCTCAGGCTCAGTCCTCAGTGCTCACTCTTGCCAGTTACCTTATCATTAACAGGACTTCCCCTTCCTGTCCACAGCTGCTGTCCTCTGTCTTCCAGTCTGTTCTTCCTCTGAGCAATGTAAGGAAAAGTTAGAACCCTACCCCACAAAACGTCCCTCTTCTTTTCACAACCATCTATGGCCCCAGTGTTCTGAGAGTGAAAGTAAACCTCCTCCTGCAAAACCACACCTCGTCTCTTTGTTGCCTTTACTCCCACAATAGGCCCGGGATTCTGAATCCTCCAGGCTTAGCTGCACCACCGTGTCCTTACAAGGTGGCATTGCAGCCTGTAGCCCTGTTTCCCCATCACACCTGTGTCATCCAGGAGCGACTCACTGTTCTGGATGCGGCTTCCTGGGCTGCAGTTAATGAGAGGCGCCAGTCCCCAGGCTGGAGGGTTAAATGGGGTCAGGCTGAGATAAAGCTTAAGCAGAGAGGAGTTTGGGAGGCATGGAGTTCCCAATCCTGGCCTGTTGGCAGTCAACAAGCCTCAGACACACCCTGCACAGCAAGGACGCTGCCTACTAGGCCTCCTCCTACTCATGTCCAGTGGGCTGAAGCCTGTGAGTCCTTAAACAAACGGAAGAGGTAAAAATGCCCGCCAGGAGGAGAAAGGTGGACGTCCTGCCCTAACCGGATGCACTGACACCAAAATGCTCTGTAGCTCCGCCCACGTGGGCCCATTCCTTTCTGGGTAATGTAGTTTTCTCAAACGCCAACGGGAGGGCTAGCATGCAGGCCAATGACACTAGTGAATAAAGGTGATGTGGTTCAGCAAGTGGCCCTGGGGAAGGACAAGATGGGACCAGAGGCCTGGTTAACTGGAACAGACAGGCAGATCTCCCAGGAGCGGGGCGTGGGGAGGACTGGGAGAGATCCCCCAAGGAATATATGCGCAGGCGAAAATGGGAGACATCTGTAATACTATCAATGATAAAAAATACGTTTTATTTTAAATAATATAGCCCAACTGCTATGGCTCAATGGTTGAGCACTGACCTATGATCCATGAGGTCATGGTACTATTCTTGGTCAGGGAACATAAATGGGTTGTAGGTTCAATTCTCAGTTTGGTGGGGGTGGGGATGGGAGTGGGGACCTGCAGGAGGCAGCAAATCCGTGATTCTCTCTAATCATTGATGTTTTTATCTCTCCATCTCCCTCCCTCTCTCTAAAATCAATAAAACTATATTTTTAAAGTATATACATATATGCATAGCCCAAGGACATAGACAATAATGTAGTGAGGGCAAGAATGGTGGGGGCAGGATAAAAGGAAGCAAAGGGGGATGAGGATGGAGTAAACTCGGGCTATTTATTATGGAGTCAACAATAACAACAATGGTTTGCCCACATGGCATGGCTCAGTGGTTGGGCATGGACCCAAGAACCAAGGTATCTCTGGTTTGATTCCAGGACAGGGCACATGATCAGGTTGGGAGCCCCATCCCTGTAGGGAGCACGCATGAGGCAACGGGTCAATAATTCTCTCTCATCATTGATGTTTCTCCATCTCCCTCTTTCTCTAAAAAATCAAATAGTGTTAAGATTGGTTTGAGTCGCTGTAACCGGTTTGGCTCAGTGGATAGAGCATTGGCCTGTGAACTGAAGGGACCTGGGTTCAATTCCTGTCAAGGACATGTGCCTTGGTTGCCAGCACATCCCCAGTGGGGGGTGTGCAGGAGGCAGCTGATCAATGTTTCTCTCTTATTGATGTTTCTAACTCTCTATCCCTCTCCCTTCCTGTCTATATAAAAATCACTAAAATGTATTTTTAGAAAAAATATATTGATTTGAGTCAACAACACCGAGGTGAATGAGGGCCATCATGTTTTCTCCCAAGTCCTCGAAACAAAATAATGCCTTGGTTTCTCTTTATAGAAGATGTCCAGGCATAACTGTGTTCAGAAACAGGAAGCATCCTGCAGTGGGTCTGCCTCAGCTTGGTCTGTAGGGTTTCAGTTCGTTACTTCATGTTAGAAAAGATTTCACAACACAAGTTCAGCAGATTTTGAGGGTACATTAATTAAAGCTGGGGATAATGAAAAAAAAAAAAGGAAGGCCTTATGTTAGAACAAGCCACAGCACAGAGACTAGGTGTGGCTCCTTTGCCACTCTAGGGAAATAAATGAGCCAAAGTGAGGCTGCTGTTAGCTCACTGGGCATTCAGAGAAAAGGAGGCCTTGAGGGCAGATTCTGGGGGTTAGCCCAGGATGAGCTGCCACTGCTCACTGCTACCCTGGTTACAGATGAGTGGGATCATTGAAAATCTTAGGAAAGGCCAGGTGGTGTGGTTCAGTGGTTGAGTGTTAACCTATAACGCTGCAGGTCTCTGATTGATTTCTGGTGAGGACACATGCTCAGGTGGTGGGTGGATTCATACTGTGGTGCTTGCAGGAGGCAGTCTATCATTGATTCCCGCTCATCTTTGATATTTCTCTCTCTCTCTATCACCCTCCCTTCTCTGAAATCAATAAAAATATATTTTTTGAATATACAGTGGGGCCTTGACTTACGAGTTTAATTCGTTCCGTAACAGAGCTCATAACTCAAATTACTCGTATGTCAAATCACTGTGACGTTCGCTGCGCCAACGAATGTCACAGGTGGGGTATCTGAAGCTGGCTTGTAACCCGAATTTTTTTGAGCTTGCAACTCAAAGCAAAAAATCGGCCGAGAGACGGCTCATATCTCAAAAAAACTCATTACTCGGGACACTCGTAAGTCAAGGCCTCACTGTATGTTTTAAATCAACTATACTTACATCAAAGTTTAAAATGTTTAAAAGTTGCCACTTCACATTATTTTACTACTTTATCATGAATGTTCTTCAGTATATTTGTACCGACTATATCAGCATGTTGGAAATAATATATAATGATTTGCTACTGAAATATCTTAGTAGGCCCATGCTCAGTCCCATCATTT